ATTAAGTAATCCAAAGTATTCAGAATACGTTACTCTCATCTAGTAACATAACGGAATACGTTACAGAATACATTTTGGGGCATGTATTTTGTAATCTGTAATGGAATACATTTTAAAAGTAACCTTCCCAACACTGTCAATATGTTACTACAGCCTTTTCCTCTACTTGTCTACCACTACAATTTGTGGTTGGTTAGCTATCACCAGTTTGTTCATCTGTATGTGGAAATCCCACAGGATTTTAGCTCAATCGCAGCATTACTTAAATGAAGAGAGAATGATTAGGGAATTAGTTTCAGCTGACCAGCCAGCCTCCTTAGCATTGCTCCCTGAACCTGCTGCCCCACCCATCCTCTCTAAATACCCCACTGCCTGACTTAGGCAAGCGGAGCCATCTGGCCAGTTCTACCTCCCACCCCCCACCCATTTTCCCACGAAAGCAGCCACGATTATCTGTGCCCCTGTCTTATGGGGCATCTTGAACTTAAAAGGCTGGAGAGCTAATCCCAGGTGATCCAGGCAATGGCGTCCTTCATACACTGGAGCCAGTGGGACGTGTTCCAAACAAAGTGAATGGGCATCTCAAGAAGCCACTGTATTGCCAAGAACTCTTTTTCAACAGTATTGTACCACCTTTCCCGTTCTAACAGGAAAAAGTTAGGGGTGTGCAGCACATGTTCTCCACAGAGAGCCTTTTCAACCTGCACAAATGCCACCTGGCACTCCTCCATCCACTGTAGCAGATCTTGGACACCTTTTCAGAGAGGTCTGTTAGGGGCTGGTCAGCTCTACAAAGTTCAGAACGAACCAGTGGTAATAACCAGTCAGCCCCAAAACCACCTCATCTCTTTTTTTTTCTTCTTTTTTTGGTCTTGGGACATGTGCAGGCTGTGATGGTTGTCATTTTCTCCATCTGTGGGTGCACCTGCCCGCCTTCCACTGCAATAACACTGTGCGTACACAGTCTGTGTTGCAGAGAACTGATTATTTTACAGTATGATTACACCAACAAACCTGTGCTCTGCTCCAGACAGCTTTACAGCCATCGGGTCTCCTGCTCATCTATCCTTTCCCTCCAGGTCCTGTTGTTACTGAAGTAGGAAGAGCATGATTAAGGAATTATCCCAGCTCCCCTGCCAGCCTTCCCTGGCTTTTATTCCATTCTAAAAGAGGCTGGGGTCATTGAGTCCAAGTGAGAATGTTCCACAACTTCCTTGCCTAAGCTACTGCAAGGAATTGCAGCTGGAAGGTTGTTGGTGCCTTTAGTGGTAGTAATCCCAGAACCAGGTGGTGGACACCCAACCTAAAGAGAGCTGTCAGACTGAAGGAGTCTTATCAGGCTTGGCTAGCATGTAGGATAACAAAGGCAGCTGAAAGGTACTGGCATACCAAGCAGAGTGCAGTTCAATATATATGCCTAATATAATAAATGCCTAAAGTAAATTTTCCAGCATCACTCTGAAACAGGATATTTGTCATTTTAAAGATAAAAATGCAAATTTTTAAAAAGGTAGTCCTATATATTTGT